CTCACTTTTAAAATGTAAAGGAGTGTTATTCTTGATGTAGTATGCAAAAATTTAGCTGTTAGGTACATAAGAAATGTGGTATATTTGTAAAAGCCCTAAAGACTGGTTATATTGTGAACAGCAGCTTGCTCAAAAAGCTAGTCAAAAGTGTAAAAAAAAAAATATTCTAGTTCCATTTACATAGGTATCACATAAATATCTTTTATTTATATTTCTAATACCTAAACTTTGATTATATATATATATATATAACATTTTACTCTTGCATGGAAATGTGTATTTTACTTTTTAAAGAATTTAATTGTGGTATTTTTGATGAGATATAAAGGATTTAAATATGAAAAATGTATAAATCAAATCTAAATGCTAGAAACCCAAACATTGCCATAAAATATATGTGCTAAGCTAAACCATATAATTTTATTCTTATCTTTTATCTTCTAAGGAGTGCTCAATTATGGGTAGGCTGAATTGTTTGTTGTTAATTCTAGCTTATTACTTATATAGTTTAATATTGTTTTATTCAATTTTTTAAGGTAAGAATAAGGTCACTCACATGTCCCCTCATCTCTTGTATTATAGGCCCATTAACTCCACTTGGTTTGCTCATCAAACACTCATTGTAAAGAATATTAAGCTCATATTGCAATTAAATAACCAAATTTATGTCATGCTGTATTATATTTATTTTTACCCAAAACATACATATTATGCAAAGTCTCACAATTTTATCTTCTTTTTTTTTCTTGTAACTTTTTTAAGAGGATGTCCATCAGTGTATGGATAATTGACCTCCATGGGTATGTGATAAAATAAATGAGCTTTCTTAGGCCATTTTTAGTTAACGAATATCTGAAGAATTGTATCATTCGAAGCATATCATCAAACCCATCGTGTATCCTTTCAGTTCCATTAAATGACCTGCCAAATTGACCTGGTGGATTGGCTTGTCGATTTGAACTGGCAGACTGAAGCATTTGCTACCAACTTCCCATGAGTTGATGCACTTGCTGGACTCGGCTGCCAAGTTCGTCCTTACTAGCGATCCTCAGGATTGAAAAGTAGCCGGAGTGAGGATCAAAATTGAATAGGTTGTCATGTGCTCCATCACCATTTATTCGCCGTCTGACATCTGATCGAGTTTTTTTCAGATACATTGTTAGCTTTCATAGCGTACAACTCATATTTTTATATTCATTTTTCCTCTTTACGTATGAGAGGAGGGAGGACTTAAAGAAAGGATTTTACATCTCAGCCTCTCTCGCCCTCTCTCTCACTTGTAAGAAATTAGATTATTTTCTTAGACTTATATGTGGAATCATTGAGAAAACGAAGAATTCAAACTTAGGGAACAAATCTATCTTCTCCTTTAATGCTATATCTATGTTTCTTTTAGGTTGTGTGAACCCACAAACTATACGATATTCGGATTTTTTTTTATTATAACTTAACTTAAAACTTATTTAACCCAGTATCTTTTTCTCCACATTCAATGTAAGATTAAGATCATTAATGTCTCTTGTGCTGAATTTTTTGTATTATGTCGTTTAATTTATTGTATACACCAAAAATACTATCACAATTCTCACAGTTATCAAACAACTCTAATGAAGGTAAGACAAACAAAGCGCCCTACCACCCTATCACTGCCCGGGCAGGGAAAATTCGACCGTCTCTCGTGGTAAAAGGCTCTAATGGTGTACCATGCATGCGGTCCCGACCAACCAGGATGCACATAAGAGTGCTCAACCGCAACATACTGACTGATCCATAATGAACGAGATAGCCGTCGACCGAGCACATCGACTGAACACATACGTCAGAGAGAACAATCACCACTCGACCTGTCGTCTCAATCGACCGGTCGATCACCGTCATTAACATATAAGTAGTTATGCGGGGCTGAGGTCAGCCACCTAAACTGGCTGGCAGCTGGCAGATGTACATGGCTAACCCGATCTACGAAGATCGATCCCGATCGGGACCGATAAGCATTTGGAGAGGTCGATCCCGACTTCTACGAGACCAAGCAACAATTGGAAGGGGTGGCAGTGTTGCCAACCCCTTTCATCCCTTTCATTTTTTTCATCTCATTTTCTTTCTTCTTTCTCACCTGATGGGTGTCTATTTATTTGTTTTTTACTGGAATTAGGGTCAAGTTTTGTTAGATTAATGTTTTCAAATTTTGTGTTGAGTCTTCTTTTCCCTTGCTAGGGTTGTTCCGACCATGGGTGATTCTTCAACTGTATTCTGCTCTTAGGTGGTGTTATATCCTCCCCTATGTTCCTCCCTATCACTTATCCTTCACCTCCCTTAACCGTCGGCCATCTCATCTCCTTCCTCTCGTCTTGCCGCTCCCTTGCTACTATCGTAACTTTGTTGTCTAGCCTCCATTTCACATCCCAACACCTCATCCTTCCCTTCCCGGTAGTAGCCTTTGTTGTCCAACCCCATCGACCATCTACCTACACCCTACCATCCCTTCTCGCGCAGGTCATTGTTGTCTATCCCCCATAAAACCCATAAAACCCCCTTTAGAACCTACCAAACAACCACCAAGCCTTCCTCATCGCCACTACCACTTTGCAGACACTACTATCGCTCTCAGATTTTCTGTTCCAGCCCTAGTTGGAGATTGGTGTTGTTGTATTTTTCTTTCCAGTTTGTGTTATATTATAACCCTTGATTCCATTCTTAATAAAATTTTGCTTTCATTTCTATTGAGTCATGAAATAGTTCATGTTATATTTGGTATCAAAGCTAGCACAATCCTAATCCTATCTTAGGGTTTCCTAACATTTTTTATAAACCATTTTTTTTCCTTTCACCAAATACTCATTCGACTTCCATAAATCTCAAACCCTAATCATGCCACCAAAAAGATATACACTTGAGCCTACCCCCGGGTAGAGATATGGCGAGAGCTCCATCGATAAAGACTTCTAGAGATTAATGGGATGACCAACAGGGAGGTTGCCCTAGTTGAGATCTCGAGAGTCATAGGGGAGAAAGAGAGGAGGATAGAAATCCCTTCCATAGAGCGAATTTCAGTGATGAAGAAGGCAAACCACGGTGTTTCAGAATTCGTTATTAAAGGAGGCTTAAGAGGGTATTTGAATCCATTGTATATGGGGAATTTTAGAGAAAAATATACCATTTGGAGATTACAAATACTTTGACATCAAAATATATTTGTCAAAGTTTGATGGAGGAATGGATCCATAAGACTTTATTGATTTGTTGTAATTTGTTGAATGGATCTTCAAATATAAGGATGTGCCAGAGGATAATACAACAAAATTAGCTGTCATCAAGTTGAAGAAAATATCTCTTTGTGGTGAAAGAACTTACAGAGACAGTGAAAAATGGAAGGCAACAATAAGATTATCGGGTGGGAGAAGAAGAATAAAGTGATGCAAAGGAAATACCTCTCACCCTATTATCATCAAGATATGTTTATGAGACTTCACAACATACAACAGAGGGATCTGTTAGAAGAATAGTTCACAAAGATGTTTGATCAGTTACAAATGAGATATGATTTGGACGAGCCAAAAGAGCATACCATAGTCTGTTTCTGGGGGGCCTGATGCTCGTCATTTGAAACGTGGTGCATTGCAGTCTTATTCATCACTTAACGATGTGCAGACTCTAGCCTTGAAGGTAGAAAAGCAATAAGAGCTGAGCAGGTAGTTATCATCTTTTAGGTAGTAACTTTTAGTCAAGCAACCATCTACATATATCACGATCGACAAAGATACCTCAAGAGGAATTATCAAGCCCGAACAAGTGATAAGTCATATCAGGGTGACAAGAAACAAGAGAAAGCTAGATCCTCCAATATGGTACTAACAAAGAAGTGTTTCAGGTTCCACGACTATGGCTGCATAGCCTTTTGTTGTCCCATGATCAGATTAGTCACCCTCACAGATCAAGGCATCGTGGAGGAATTTAGCAACGAAGAGACAACTGAGGACCATAGTGAGGTTTATCGTCTTCCACTGGATGAAAGAGAAGCGCTTATAGTTCAACTAGTCCTACAAACTAATATTGTTATGAGGGATTCACAATTGTTTCGTCACAATATATTTTGCACCTGATGCATTGTGAACATGAAGGTATGCAACCTCATCATCGATAGAGGGAGTAGTAAGAGCATGACATTTACACAGATGTTTTATAAGTATGGTCTGATGACTTAGAAGCATTCTCAATTGTATTCATTAACATGGTTGAAAAAGGATAATTGGGCCAACATCGATCGAAGAAGCTTGGTAGAGTTTTTGATTGGGGACCATCTGTAGGAGCAGGTGTGGCGCAACATGGTGCCTTCATATGTCAGCCACTTATTTTTGGGAAGATCATGACATTTAGATCGAATGATTCAACATGAAAAATTTAAAAACGTTATTCCTTCACAAAGGATGAGAATCACATCACCTTACTTCCTTCGGTGGAGCCAGAGATCACACGAGCCCTTGCCAACATAATAGCGTAGGTGGGACTGATTTTAGTGACGAAAGAGGATGACGGATTGCGACACTAGTTCTAGACGCGAGACAAACATGACAGAGGGCATTTTAGGATATTAGGGTCGATACCTTACCACCAGCGCCACCATTGTGGAAAAGGGTACATATTACCCCCACTTCAAATTTGGTTAAGCGATCTTGAATGACATCAGGAGTATTAAGTAACAGAGGTAGGACACACATTTCTGTTTATTAGTAAACTCCTAAAAGATTGGACCGATGTGGATGCTAGCTCTTATTTTGAGAAAGACGCTAAGATACATGGGAGGTGGATGCAGTCACCAATGGAATGCATGT